AACAAAATGTAAAATTATACCTGATATACCATACAGAGGTTCACATACTCAAACGCATGAGGCTAAAATATCTTGACGTTTAACTGCTTTTCTCAGTTTTAAACACACGCAACACCAATTGGAAGCCAGATACTGGGAAAAACTGAAAACCACAAACCCCCAAAAACTCAGAGCATGTAATCTGGTAGGTAAATAGAAACTTATTTGCTTCCAAGTATCCTGTAAAATTTGAAGAGGCAGATCATGATTTCAGGTATCTTTTACATCTCAAGTGCTAGAGGAATTCTTGAGAATCAGCTGAAGTTATTACTGTGCTGACTATTCAAAAGCCAGTGTTTTCCAAAGATTTACTTCTCTATTTCATTAGCATAGATTTTTCTTTTCATACAGAAAATAACACAGTATATCACACAGGGCAGCGTAGTATGTAATGATAAAGTCTCTTTTTTTTTTTTTTTACAGCAACCACTAAAATTATGTCATGAGCAAAAAATAAATTTATAAGAGTATACGTTTACATAATACACACACCTAAACTAAAATATGGCACTGTAAGCTTTTCTTTCTCCCCAGCTTCAGTCTTAAGGAAAATAAAACAAAACAAAAAGAACCCCAGAAGCCTGAATGTACACCAAGTTATCTTTGCATTTAATTTACCTAATGTTATTAGCAGAAAGTAAACACAATTTTTTCTGGAAAAAATAAAAATATTCCCAAGATCATTCCCAGAGCTGCAAAGGCAAGTATAGAAAAATCTATCTTTGTAACTGTTTTTTGTTCTGTAAAAAGAACAGACAAACCAGGGCTGAGGACATCTTGTAAAAAGTCATGATGATTTATAACAAAACATTTTAGAACATATGTTGCATATTCATGGTTAAAACTGTTACACAACATTCTGTTTTCTAGTTAACTTCTCCTCAGATGATTGCTTCGGAGGAGTAAAATATCGTGAAGTAAAGGACAGCAAGGACAAACTCAGATATGAGTCAAGAAGCGCATAAACACACAGAAACACTGGACTGACTAAAAATAAAATACATCTACATTTCCATCACAGCACGTACGTACTTACCACATTCCAAGTAGTAGCAGTAGTTTCCTGTATTCATTTCTGAAGAATTGGCTAAACTTAACTAAAGAATGACACATGACTAAAGATGCCATGGGCACATATTTGGTGTTCTTTAACTTTTGCTGTAATTTATCAAAAGACGGAGAACAGAGTGCGGTGGGCTAACCTGGGCCAGCTTGCAGAGACCTCCCCAGCTGCACTCTCACTCCCCCTACACAACAGCATAGCGGGAGAAAATAAGGTGGAAAAGCTCATTGGTCAAGGTCAAGATGGGGATCACTGAACAATCACTGTCACGGGCAAGCCAGTGTCGACTGTGATAGTGAGAAACAAAATGAAGAATTCAAACAGCACTTTCACACTGCCTCTTTCCAGGTTAAGTTTCACTCTCCTGCCTGTCCAGCAGTCTTGTCCTTTCTTAAATATGTTTTCAGAGCTGTTCTGATGGGCTCAGCTGTATCCAGCAGTGGACCAACACTTCGCTGATTCCTCATCTTCCTTGTCCCTTCCTTTGAAACCAAGTCCTGTTAGCAATGTTTGAGTAACGCTCATGTCAATTCCTCTGGCTGAATAACGTTCACTGTCTACAATTCTAGGGACACTGTGCACCTCCCCCATATGACTGATTTTTCACTCAAATCTCTGTAATACGGCTCACACAAGCAGTTGTTTAATAACGACCTGAAACATGGAGTACTTCCAAATACACTGCTATGCCTTCTTGTTACAACCTCTGCGTTACAATTCCCTAAAACAACATTACACTTGAAACTCCAGCTGATAGCATAAGATTGCATTTTACAGCTCTTATATTTCACCAGTTTTAGGCTCAGAGTATTTTATATGATACTGTCTGAATTCTTCATGAAATAATTTCTATTCCACCACTGCACAGATAGGGTACCTTATCTCAGGGGCAGGGCTCTTAATGCTTATCACAATGCCACTCTTCTACTTTACGTACCAAGATTGACAAATAGGTTCTAACCATATTTTCGTTTACTGAGCCACTCTCCATATGGAAACAAACTTTATTTAAAAATGCTCTGAAGTCTAGAAATCAAGAAACCTAATATGTGTCTGCCATATAAAGATAGGTGAAAAGAAGTGCAGCATTTAAAAAGTCAAAATGGAAGAAAAATACGTAGATAGGGAAGTCATTCAAGTTTCATGCTATTCTTCTAAACTTTATTTTCAGGATAATTTTTGCCATATAAGTGCCTTATTTCCCTCTCAAGCTTCTTGATCTCATATGTTTAATTCCTAGAGTCCCACCTACTAGAGTTGTTTTGTTTCAAAAGCAGGAAGACAGAAGAAAGATTCATAAAAATGAAGGACACTATTGGCAATCAGAAAGACAGGATTGAGGCTCACAAAGGCTTTTGTGATTGTTTCAGAACTACCATAACATAGGATTGGGAGAGTCTTAAGAACATAAGAAACAAATTATCAAACAAGCTGTAAAAACTTTTGCATAAGTGTTGTTCACTTCCCTTTCCACCTCATTACTTTTTTCCCCTTTATTAAACAGAGAAAAATATAAATCTTTCCACTCATAGGTAGTAGGCATCTCAAATCCGTCCTCAAGCTATTTCTGCACATTCTAAAATAATTCATATGCAGACACACAGCATTTAATCTTCGAGAAACAAAACTGGAGCTAAAATCTCATGAGAACTCCAAAGTTCTCTCTGAACTATTATAAAAGCCTTGTCCAAAAATGTTGTTAACTTGGAGAAGAGATGTGTAAATTGTATAATTTCCTGAAGATTTTTTTTTTTTTGCTAGGAAAGAACCTGAAGCAGTCCAATACTCTGACACCACAGATAAATTTGGTTTCAGACTAAAAGAATGTGAGAAACACAGGCAGCAGCATGAAAACACACGTGCCCTACCTGTTTATTCACCTAGTACAAGACTACGGATCAGTCATCTTACTCAGAGTTTCCTAGTGAAAGGGAGAAGGGTGGTAGGAGCAGCCCCTGTGATTGTAATAGTAACAGCTCTTTTGGCAAAGTGTAAAGTGCAGATGGTATCAAAGATATGCAAATAACTTAAGCAAGAGCTTCCAATAAAATCTCTTGTAGTGCATCTTACACTCTATGAATCAAAGTGATAGGGGCAAGCCAGGGTATCTGGCACTTTTATTGAGTGCAGTCAGTTTAACTATCTTATATTCAAGCACTTCCCTCAGGCAAAAGTCTGCACTCTAGACTTATTTGTATTTTTCCTAGGCATAAGTTACCTCTAACCAAATTGATTCATAGTCTCCAGAGAAGAAATCATCATCAGAAACAGAGAAATTACTTCTATCTGATGTACCTTCTAGTGACAGAACCATAAAAAAAGAATTTCCGAAGTGTTCCTTTGAGCTTTTTCCAGCTCATCTTTGCATTCAATGATCAAAATATAAATGATTCGAGGAACACGATAGCCTCTTCCTGCTTATAAATGTTGCTCAGAGATTTAAAACCAAAGACAAACCACACTAAGGGTTCTAGCAGAAACCATCAATATACTTATATCACCATTTTCGATACAATTAAGCTTCTTTTTCTCACACTGGAGGTTGGAATGCAAACTACCAATCAGATCATTTACTGACAGAAAATCAACACATTTTAGACATTGAAGCGGCATCTTCATGTTGGTGTATCCGTTTTAATTAGCTTTACTTTTCACGTAGGGTAAATAAAACATTAAGGAGTCAGCCAGACACATAAGCGACAAACTGTTTTTTCGAATGGCTGCATGAAATGAGCAAGGATAAAGCTTAAAGAGTGTTATATTTACCTCTGTAGATCCCAGGGCACTTCTAAGAACACTGGGTCAGGTACACTGAGACACTGAGAAAATGTGCAATTTCTTTCCCACCGAGCTGTCAAGGCATTCATGCTGTGAATAGCTAACACCCTTCTTTGACAACTAGGCGAATATTTCTATTTTCTGCCATTCTAGTCAGGAAGTATCCCAGCATTGCCTCAGCTGATTTAGTGCCAATTCAAGTCAGACTTGAGATGTCTGAGCTAGTAACCGGACCAAATATTCTTGATGAAGCCTTGTCACAAACTCATAGACTGCTGCTTAATACATTTCCAAATAGTTAGATAGTAAAAAAGGGTGGTAAAGCTGAAAAGGCAGCAGAGAAGCAGAACACACATTCACTGAACTGCCACAATGGAGATTTAAGTAGCACATACAAGGCAAATACACTGCTGCCTCTACTTATTATTAACATTGCTTTATAAAAATGCTTAAACTTATAAAAGCCTATGTAGCTCCTTAAAATCAATTCTTTATTTCTCATACTTTGAAAATACATGTAATTTAGAAAAGCATAACTGATAACAAAGTCTATCTGGCCATAACTGAGACAAGTCCAAATGAACACATTCTCTTCAACTGGTAATTGTGCAAAGATGCTATTATTTTATTATTAGAAGATCTATTATTTTTTCTTAAATATTTTAAAATATGTATTTCTGGTTACAGTGCACTTGCACCTGTTGACAAAAAGTTTTCACTTCCAGTACCATGAAAGCGGAAGTGAGAACAAAGGGAAGAATACTTCTTTCAACGGGGACAGATCTCATGAAACCTGCTCATAAAACACTGCATTAGTATACCATAGTATTTCATTACGTTTTTTTTTCCCCATGGGATAAGAAAAAAATAGGCAGGAATAATTTGTGTATGAATACACAAATAGAAGAAGCAACAAAATAAACTATTTAGAGTACAGGCTTTATGCCAAGAGTGAAATATTTCTGAGATTAGATTCCATCCTTTGAACAATGCTGCATCACACTGTGGTGTCTTACTCAGGATTTCTATCTCAGGCAGGATTTGGTTTAGTGTTTTAACTCCCATATTTACAATCTACAGATTCATTCCACTAACTGAATATGCCTTGAACAGTACTTACCAATACTGGTATAACCAGGTGTTGATGGATCTCCTCCGCTGTTCAAGGAGACCATAAAAGCTTTATCAGTAAGATCTGTAGTCTTTGGTAAGTCACAAGGATCAACGTAAAGAAGAACACCACCAAACCCCGCATCTTCTAACAGAGAAAGCTGAGAGAACAAAACAACACAGGTGACTATTAACAAAAACAATGTCAGAACACGTTATTACCCATTTTAATTGCTGTTGACATAGAGGCTTTATCATGCATCAGGCTCTTTCCATACTACGCTCTGCACAAATCAAATGAAGACAGGTACAGTTCCAAACTGCCTATAATATAAAACCAGCAGCTGTTTTTTGAAAAGACAAAATCAACCCCCACCCAAAACTAATTCAAAGTCATGTTTAATTCAGGCCAAAAACTACTTTCAAAGTTTAACGACAAAAAGATTTTTTACTTTTCAATTATATGCAGTACATTGAGGAAACAGAGTGGAAATACTACAATTGCAGTTGAGATTTGCAGCTGTTCCATCTTCATCCCTTTTACTGTGACACTCAAGACAAGGCTGGTGTGTTGGAGATTATATTCAGATGAGGCACTGCCATGATTCAGTAATGTCCAAAATGAGATATGAGTGGAGCCACCTTTTCCCCTACTCATTGGACACCTGCTAGACTTACAACTTTAACATATTTTCCCATGATAAAAACACCATCTTGAAAATTCCTTAGTTTTGAAACTAATCTCATTAAAGCACCTTGTGGAGATCTTCTGTATTCTCCATATTATTAGTATGACATTCCTGCTTGGTTTACCTCTTGTCCTGGTTTGAGAGCACCAGGATATCTCTTGAAGGACACACGTATACTAATGTTTGCACACACTGGCATCAGTCTTGCACAGGACTTCTGTGCAAGTTTCTCTTCAGTTGAGAAAGAATACAAAAAGAGTTTACAAAGCATACAAAAAAAAGAAAATAAAAAGGCAGTCTCACTTCCCCAAACCTTGCAGTCTGTCTCCTGTCAGACAGACAGCTTTTATTCGGTCTCATTAGAACATCACAGCTTGAGTTGGCAATGGTAATCAGCCTTTCCAAAAATGCACAGATCTGAGGCAGCAGATCAAGCAAACTTCCCTAAAGTCAAGGACAAAGGCATGCCATAACCATAACTTGCAAAAATGTTGAGTTTTCCCTTTCATCGAGAACTGAAAAACAGGTGGATTTTATTCTGAATCAGATGCAACCGAATTGTAATGTAGCAAACACTGCCATGAAACTAGATGACTTTTCTGCATACTTGGAACTGTCCGAAAACTACAACAATGACACAAAACTATATTATTTTTTCAAATAGAAGTAATTCTCCTACTCACTATGTTCTACTGGTGACTTTCCAAATGGCTCCAAATGGTCTGAGGAATGACTGCAAGTATATGACATTTCTGGACTACACAACTCTGTAGGAAACCAAGAACTCACTACTACGTCTCTGTCTCTCAGTTCAATTGTGCTTCCATTTTTTTCTTCTAGGCCTTTCAATTTTTTCTGTGTATTTTTTTTTCCAATGTATCTCCTAGCTATTGGTTTTAAGGAATGTTTATGCATAGTTCTTTGTAGCTTTACAAGCATGTAAATTATATGAATATATAGCATCCAGTTCAAGCCTCAAAAGCATTTGATGTTTAGTTCTCCTTTTCTTGAAAATTATGACTGAAAAAAAAGTGTATATAAAAAACCCTATTTGCCATTTCTATAAGTAAGTACATTTAATATTGTGATTCAGCAAGATTTGACACCAGAGTCTGAATTCAGCTAAGCAGATGCAAGTGAACCTGTGATTCACTGCTATAATCTTACCTATCTCATTCAAACAAGCAATTCTTAGATGAAAAGGGATGGTCTCTTTGAGAGAACTGAATAAGAGTGTGCGGAGTAAGTGTGACCACAGATGTTAAAAAATGTATTATAGACCTTAATGGTAATGGAGGAAGAAAAAAAAATTTCCAAAATGATTGGTTTGTTTATTATTGTGCTGTTCTGTTGCCAACTCAGGTTCACATTCAGATACTCAGCCAGGATTTGATTGCACAATAAAAGGGGTAGGGACACTATAAGAGAAGCAGGACACATCATTGCTAAATGATGTAACAGTCAGGATTTAAAATAACAATTGTCATTTCCTGCATCCATATTCAGTATATTTTTATTCATCTCTAGTCTTATTTAATAGCATAGAAGACAGGAAACACCAATGCATTTGTGGTTTATGGTTGTTTCCTTTTTTTTTGAAGAGAGTTTTAAAAGCTTTGTACTCTACAAAAATCACTATTAAATTCTTCTATTTCACTGAGAGAAGGTAACTACATGTTTGTTATTCACAAAGTGCAGCAACCACTGCTGCCATGGCTACAATCTCTAGCAAGGAGTTGTGTTGTACATGTGAAATTATAAAACAGCTTCTAGATTTCAGCTATAATTGCTGCTTTTTAACTTTCCAACAGTGACATCACAACTCTGCCAATAATAAATGGGTAAGTACTTCCATTTTCATCTTAAGTAAGTCAACACCTTAACAGTCATAAAGTGCCCTAGCACAAAGAATCTGAGGAAAACACCTATTTTTTATTTATTTTTTCTTTTTTTTCTTAGCCACAGAAGGCAGATTAAGTCCTTCAGGTAAACTGGTTCACTGTCTAGACTGCCACTGTCTAGAAATTTCTCCATCTTTGTGAAACGTCTTTGCAATCATTTATGGTGTTACACGTGCAGGCAGCTACAGTATCAGCATTGTGGTGTCTTTCTCTCTCCTGGTGAAGGTCACCTCTTGTCTCTCCTTAAAAGCTTTTATCCCTCCCTTAAAGCTGTATTGGCTATGCTTTATGAGATATAATACCAGTCCCACTGCTGATAAATATTGCCTCTATAAGGCTTCTTTAGTCTGCTTTCCATGCTTTTCATTTAGGTGTCTTGATCCACATCAATGACTGAACCACCAATTAGGTGGCACAGAAAACTTACTTTATGGGCTGAAATATCTCAGTATATTCCTGCAACTTTAATGAAAATAGGATTTTGAGTAGACAAGAGGTAGATTCAGCACCACACTGCGAAGGCATTACTAAAATCTGGAGAGTTTAGCCCTTAAGGCAAGGAGGAAAAAACATGTAAGAATCCACAAGAGAACACGAGAGATGGAGAAGAATACAGGCACCTGGACTACAAATTAGACAGCACAAAATCCAACCTTGAGAACCAAAGCTGTGTAAAATCTCTTCACTAACACACAGAACCACCTGTTGTTTCATCAAATGATGTAAGATCAGGCAGTTCAGTACAGGACAGATGGGCTTATGATTCTATATAATGAGTGACTTTGTCATCATGGAAGGTTCTACCCTTGCTCAAAACAAGCAGCACTAACATTGTGCCTGGAAAAAGGACTTTAAAATACATCACCTTTCAAATGCATTTCCCCGTGTTTATATACATGGATGAGAGTTTTTCAGGATGGGATAAATCAAGCTCTAGTGCTGGAAAAAACATTAACCAGATCTCTTCATTTTACTATAGGTTCCCTTTTACTTCTCAATACCAGATTCAATACAAACCCAGTAACGTTTTTCTTATTAGATATGAGTCTGTTTTCAACTATATGACATTAGCTTTCAGACTTTCAATTACTGCATAATGGTTAAAATGTAGCAGTAAACAGAACAATATAAACTAGCTGCACAACGGTATTTAAGATTTCTCTTTTACTTCTGTATTAGATATTTTTAATACCATGCTAGTACAACCTAAAAGCCCACATTTCAAAAACACTTTTAGCACACCATGCTGTTTTCAGCCAAGAGTGCCTCAAAAGGTAGTTCTCATCTTTGGAAGGCATTCATGTGCATGTATTTCACATTACTGAAAGTGTGCACCTTGGCTGTACCCTCACTCCCGCACACTTACTTACATTAATAGATAGTATTAGGCTGTTCATTGGAACTACTCATGTGCTTCACCATTACTCACATTTCACTACTGTATCACCACAACATGTGAAAAAGAGGCTCTTGTGTAAATCAGAATCAAAGCAATTATGCCACACACTAGGAGCTTTGACTGATACCAGTACCAGAAAGATTATATACCTGTCTTTGGTGAATGTATTTATACGAAAACCTGGAAATTGCAGTCACAACTCAAAGTAAAAATAATTAAAAAAAATAAATAAAAATGAGGCATGCCTTTGGTGTACCAAGGTACAAAAATGATATTTTACACAATGTCTGTGTTAGTGTAAATGACATAACAGTTCATTAGACAAAAAAGGCCTTTACGTGTCAACTACTTAAGAGCACAGCAAAATTCATACTGGGTCACGTTATTATTCCAGCATACAACATCTTCCATATAACGTCAGGCCAAAAGTCTCTCTCTTGCTAAAGCTAGATTCAGAATTGACTGTTTATTACAAGTCCGTTCAGGTGCTAACACAGTAAATTGACTTGTTTATTTCAAGTCCGTTCAGGTGCTAACACAGTAAAATCTGGGCATAATGTATATAAAATAAACCAAAACTTAACAGATATTCACACTTATAGGTTGACTGCCTCTATGTAATTGTCATCCCCTTTTCTTCGTCCCTTCTAGGTAATCCATGCAAAAACACATGTGGAAATGTATAATCAAAGTCATATTAGACACAGAGGATTGAAACAAAAATAAATTTTAAAGAAGAAAAGCTAATTAGTGAAATCTAATAAAATATACACAATAAAATTTCTGAGGAAGGAAGAAAAAGTATCATCTCAATAACATACGAAAAAATACATACATGAACCTATAACAGTACTACTCATAAACATTTACAGAAGCTGCATCTCCTATTGTCATTAAACTTTAGTGCAATGATCAGGATTCATTAGACAAATAACAGTAGCTGGCTTTTAACTGCTGCATTTTTTCAATTCATAGTGCCACATGTAAAAAACATGTTTTGCTAATCTGAGACACAACTTTATCGACTGGACAGGCTACAAGTTATTAAGCACTGTTTTCTACTGAAGTTCCAATTAAAATCATGATGCTCTGAAAGGAACTCCCATCTCATTGTACTAATTGGCAGTATGCAAAATTACCAAGCAAAGAGAAAGCACCATTTAAACTGTTGG